GCCGCCACTTGACGCCACTTGCCATTTCTCACTCTTTTTTATATTTTTAAATTTTTTTAAACATTTTGTCAATTACCAAACGCGTTTATAGTTTATGTTTTTCTAAAAAGAAACAAAAAATAAACAAAAACCTGTTTATAAAATTTTCGTAAATATAAACTGAAAACGTAAACGTTACCAAACACACCCTAAATATTTTTCACCTAGAATTATGTATTTCAAAATATTTCATACAAATTGTTTACTATCCATTTTTGGTATTATTTTTATTTACTATGTATTTGAATGATTTGTATATTGTGTAAAGAAGCTATAAGAAGGGTAAATGAGGTATTTTGTTCAATTTATAATTTTGAGTGGATTAAATTTTTAAAAGTTGAAAAGTAAGTGTTACTTTTCATGTTCTTTTCTAAGTAAGTGTTAGGGGTTCATATAATGTAATGGACATATTTATGAAAGAACAACTTTTTGTTAAATATATAGAAACAATATTACAAAAGATTAATTAATAAAAAAAAAATAAATTACAAATACACTCCTTAAGATTTATTTAAAATATAAATTACCTTTGTAATTTTAAAAATTATATTATTCCCCTTCAAATTTCTTATAGAATTATAAATGAACCTTTTTGTTAATAAATTATTAAGTTAATTAATATTTTGTAACGATATTAAAAATATATTTCAATTAACAATTCTAGTAATTCTATTGTTACATAGAAAAGTAGTTAGGAATTTCAATTTTTCTGTTAATTTTGTTAAATAAAAAATTCTAATAAGATATTATTTATAATTTTTAAAACCACAAGAAACAATTTGAATGTAAAGCAAATCTTAAATGGTGTATTTGTAACTTACCATACCAAAAAAAATGGTTCTGTTTGGTTTGATTTTAAGAAAAAGTTTTCTGAATTTTTTTTTTGAAAAAATAAAACTAGTTTGACAAAAATAATTACTAAAATTTTTTTAAAAATTATTTATGTCCTTCTAATAGATAAGGCTATATGAAAATGATAAGTGTTTTTTTTTTCTTCAACAAATTAACTTCTAGAATTTAAAAAAATAAAATTAACAATAAATTTTGAAAATAAAACCGGAGCGAATATCTATTATTCCAAAAAAAGTGTATATATATTTTTTAATGGTTACATAGCAAATGATTTGTTGGCCATATGGGTCACTCAAGCATTGGAGAACAAAATAATTAAAATAAAAATTTGAGGATACTTCTCAAAATCCAAAAAATTTAAATACATGAATTTACAGTATGTATGAAACAAACTTTTTAGAATGTACATAGCATATTGCATAACAAAAACTATCTTAAAGAATTGAAAAATAAAATTTATCCGAAGCCTCACACGCTTATTCTATAGAAGATATAACAAAACCATTGTTCATCAATGTAGGCAAAACTTTGTATTTTTCCTAATTAATGTTACAATCTTCATAGCATAATTTAAGGAAAGATTCAATGACATTTAATAGTAATAACTTAGAATTAAATGAAAATTTTAGTGTTGGGCCAATAGGATTGAAACACATAACAACATACGTAATTTTCATAATTTAAAAAATTTGAAAAATTGAGAAAAATAAATTGAGAGTTTGGCTTTTAAAGGCCTCCCAACATTTTGCAATTTCTAGTAGTATAGATATAGATTTCATTAAAGTCATCAATATACAACCACAAGAAATCAAAAAAGTTTACTAAATGGCAAAGTAGCTCCAAAGAGTAGTTATTTTTTGAAACAATTATTCAACACTCTCAGAGTACTATCGTAACATGTATACGTGGTACTTTTTTTACCAATGAGGTTGCATTGTCTTCCACTCACGGGCCAAGATTAGTCAAATCGACTCCACTCACCATATTAAATGTGCAGTATGAATAGGTTTTTTCAAATAAAAACTATGAAAACATATTAGAGAATTGGAAAGCCTACAAATGCACAACAATATTAACCTAATCGGTGAAAAAATTTCAGTATCCACATGTTTTACATTAGGGTTGCAGCTGTAGCATCGGTACCACAACCAGTGTTGTAGTGGAACTTTTGGGCTCTTAGGGATAGTCCTCCAGTAATCTCAATATTCGGAATTTAGAAGTAGAGATTGACACAAAACTGACCAAGTACCTCATGGCCCAGCTCGAAGGGATGGAAATTAAGCATGTTTATACCATATTCTGTTCCTTTTTTCATTGTTAAGCAACTATTTGACGATGCTAGAGGGGTTGTATACCCTAGACTATGGTATGACTTGTGCATTTCCTTTATTTACTGAAAAAAAAAAAGGGTAACTCACACCTACTTAAGGGAGCCTATCTAATATATTAAGGCTTATCTCTTGTGCACTTTATTCAATATGAGATTCTATCTTTTTTTTTCTTTTTTTTTTGTTAATCGATAATAGAGAAATTACAAGTATTAAACTTTACCTTGAACCATGTTCCAACACATGTTGATTAGTTGCATAATATAGAGATGATAAGTGAGAGTTGATGGTCAAAGGAGGATGAAATAAAATTTTACATTCAAAACAAGTTATGACACAATTTATTTTCTATTTTCTAAAATTTTATAAATTTAGAGAACCATTTAAATTTATTTTTAAAAAATGTTCACATATATTTTTGGAAACAAAAAGTAGTTTTCGTTTTCAATTTTTAAATTATTTTGAAAATTAAACAAAAAAACAAATAAACATAGAAGTTATGAAAGATACTTTACATAAAAGTTCTGAAACAGTTTGATGATTGTTTATAAGTTGATTTATTTATTCATTTATTATTTATTTATTTTTGTGTGTGTATTTTTTAATATTAATTTTGTTTTGTTTTAGACCTCGTTTGGGAATAGGCTAATTTAGTAACTTTTTAGCTATTTGGCTAAAATATGAGCTAAAAAAAACTAGTACGTTTGGGATGACTTTTTAACTTTTTACGAAAAGATGTGCAAAAGTAGAGAGAAAAGAGAATCTTTGAATTTTTTATATGAATTGTTAGCTTTTTGACTAATTTAGTAACTTTTTAACTTTTTAGTTAAAAATGAGGGTTCCCAAACGAGACCTTATAGATATTTTAGTCTAAAATGCCCCATGGAAAAAAAGCAACAATTTAATACTATCTAAATTTTGTAAAAATAATAAAAACCAGGCAAAAAGAGTCCAAAAATAAGATAAAGAATTTGGTATGTGCTTAAAGTGGATTGGTGGGGAATGATGAGATTAGCTGTCAACAAATGGTTAGCATGATGGAAAAGGTAAGAAGAAAAAGAAGACGCATGAAGTAGAAAAAGAATTGGATGAAGTGAGGGCACTCTGACTGTGGCCTTTAAGAGAGAAATAATTTTTTTTAGTATGGCTATTGGTTTTCATTTTTTAATGATAAAATAGTTGTTAAAAAAATTAATGTTCTTAGCCAATGTTAATATATATATATATATATATATTTGCAAAAGTTTAGATGTGGTTTGAAATTTTGTTATTAGTAATTTTTTTTTTTAGATAGGACGAGGATATTGCAAGATAGATGAGTGATGGAAAATGAATAGAGTTAGGATATGGCTAGTATGTTTGGGATGACTTTTTGACTTTTTACGAAAAGATGTGCAAAAAGTAAAGAGAAAAAAGAATCTTTGACTTTTTGGTATGAGTGGTTGGCTTTTTGACTAATTTAGTAACTTTTTAACTTTTTAGCTAAAAAGGAAAGTTCCCAAACGAGGCCTTATAGATGTTTTAGTCTAAAATGCCCCATGGAAAAAAAGTAACAATTTAATACTATCTAAATTTTGTAAAAACAATAAAAACCAGGCAAAAAGAGTCCAAAAATAAGATAAAGAATTTGGTATGTGCTTAAAGTGGATTGGCGGGGAATGATGAGATTAGCTGTCAACAAATGGTTAGCATGATGGAAAGGGTAAGAAGAAAAAGAAGACGCATAAAGTAGAAAAAGAATTGGATGAAGTGAGGGCACTCTGACTGTGGCCTTTAAGAGAAATAATTTTTTTAGTATGGCTATTGGTTTTCATTTTTTAATGATAAAATAGTTGTTAAAAAAATTAATGTTCTTAGCCAATGTTAATATATATATATATATATATATTTGCAAAAGTTTAGATGTGGTTTGAAATTTTGTTATTAGTAATTTTTTTTTTTAGATAGGACGAGGATATTGCAAGATAGATGAGTGATGGAAAATGAATAGAGTTAGGATATGGCAACAGTGGTTGGTGAAATAGGGAGAGGAGACGATGGTAATCGATGAGGTGGGAAAGGGCGGCGACTAATGGTTAGCGATGGCGGCATTGGTAGATAGGGGTAAGCAAAAAAATTGATTTTGATTTTTCAGAAATTTTATCCTAAAAAGTAATTTTTGTTAATGGATAAAATTATAATAAAAAAATTATAGATAAAGAGAATCATTGTGTGAATAGAATGACCTCTTTTTTTTAATAATTGAAAATTGACTTTTCAATAAAAAAAATCAAACAAAGCCTAAGAACGTATAAAATTTATATTTAAATAATGCTTGTCAAGAAAAGCCTAAAGAGCCTCAATAAAGATAAGTAGCCATACACCAGAGTTCAAGAAGTATAAAGTATTGGTAGCAAACTTGTTAGTTTGATAATCTAGTGTTTGTTCATTGCTGAGACGGTAGTCTGGTGGTTTAGTGTATGTTGAAATCTTAACTACGGAGATTTTTTTATTTTTTATTGGAAAAATCAAAATAAAACAAAAAGCAAGGAAGATGAAAAAAGAAGAGTTTATATTTGATTCACATTTCTCTCACTTTCTCCCCTCTTTCTAAATTGGTATCCAAACACAACCTTTAATCTTACAATAACTTTCATTATGTATTGAAGAACATATCAAATGTTGCAGCAAGCGTAACAACTATTATACATTTTAAGCATGCGAAAAGATTTTCAGGAGGAAAGATTGTTCCATTGTGTTCATCCTAAAACCACCAAGTCCTCATCCAAACACCTTTCAGCAGATATCTATTCTTCTACTATTTTAGCAAATTAGATTAAAATTAAGAAGGTTAACATAAACACTAAGATCAGAAGATGCATTCTATTTGTTACATAAATGATTAGTGAATGTATCCGAACAATTACTTAGTCCATCATGCTGATATCTACAATTATGATTTTATAAACTTTTCTTACTCTGTTGCTGCATCCCTATCGTCAACTTTTTGGCCATCTATTGGTTTTTGATTCATCATGAACCTCCAGCTATCTCCGTCCTCTATTTCCCATTGTTTTTTCAGTTCATAGATAGCTTTCGATGCCGCTGCAGCAATTGTTGGGTTGCTGTCTTCTGCCAGTCTCTGCATGTACAATTATAAGTACGTGAATTATTATTATTATTTTTATATAAATAAATTAACTTAACAATATGACATTAAGAAGAAGAGAAGGAAGAGAAGACAGATATGAACGCTGCAAAAGGTCATTTGTTTCAAGAAATTAAAAACCTGCAATGCTCCCATGCCTGCGTTTCCAAGAGTCCACATCGATGGCGCTGCTGCTAATGCATTAGCTAATGCTTTTCTACACATAGAGAAGAACCAAAATATCAAAAAATTCAAAACAATCATATAAAAACTCAAAAAAGAAAAAGAACCTGAAGTGGAAAAAAAATTAATAAAATCAAAATTCAGTGAGAAAGCTGGAACTTGACACTTGAATTTTCAGGGGCCTCAGTGTCAGATTCTATCATCATATTATGCACCCACAGCTTTCCTTCATTAGCATGATGGCAACTATGTAATGTGATGTAGTAAATTATGCAATGGAAATAATGAAAAGAATGCTATGGCAGAATGGTGCAGTCCTTGGTAAGAGAGAAACTACCTGCCAAGATTTTTTTGGGTGAATAACTACCTGCCAAGATGCTCATGCTCAATGCACGGATAATACTGAATTTCCATGTAGACTATTGGAAATGCAACCATCAAGAATTTCAAATTAATTTCTACTGAAATGAAAATGCCTATGAGAATACAAGTTGAACAGTTTTCCGAAGAGAGAGAATGGACAAAAATGAACCAGATGCTAGTAAGAACAGAGGTAGCAATCATCTTCCTGAACCCTATCACTCGAGATATAGCAAATATGGTTTATAATACTCAAGGTATATCCTTTTCTTTGCTTTTTGTTTTTTGTTTTAAGAATCTCGGTGGTCATACTCAACCATGGTTTAAAGCTTCGCATCAGATGCACAATTGCTAGCAAGCAGTAGATTTATGTGGATTGCATGCTTCATGTTTAATATGTGAAGCAAAGTCCTACCCAAAACCCTGAAGCAATCCACAATTCGGCCCATTTACATGGTTTTATGTGGATTGTATGCTTATTACATGGTTTTATGTGGATTGCATGCTTATTCGGCCCATGGTTATACCTACCCATATTTCACGGTTTTATGAGGATTGCATGCTTATTCGGTCATTTCCTAACAACTTAAACTTTTAGGATAATTGGTGAGTTGACATAATCATGTCATGAGAGAATTTCTAGGTGTATTTTTCACTTATATTGCATGCTCTGATAAATATATAGACAGAAACCTTACCTCGTATTGACATCAGGAGAACTCGAACACTCAGCCAATAAAGAAACACTACTTTTACCATCCATTGCATCAAGATCTATAAGCGCAGCAACCAACAACTCGAGCTGTTCCAGATGGGAAGAACAGGTAAACAGACAAACACAGAACCATTGCATCTACGACTACCTCATTTTTGTAAAAATAGAAAAGAAAAGAAAATAAAACGTATTCCTCAATTCAAACCTCCTCGGGATCAGTATAGTCAATTCCATCAGCTTCGGAGAGTGCAGATGCCATACTCCAGTAAGCCTCCTGCACATCATCAAAGCACAGTATGAATTCATGACCCTGATGCTATTAGACTATCAATGAAAGATTGTGTTGAAAAGAGCAAGAGAAAGAACCTGAATAGCAGTAATGCGATCCGTGGACACTTCTCCTGGAAAGAAGTCGAGAGTTTTTCCGTTCTTTTCAATCATTATACGCCCTACCATGCCGTCAGTCGATTGAGAACCTCTTTTCCTGTACAGTGGATTGGGGTCAACAACTCAGCTTTTAAAATATCAACGCCTAAGATACTTATTAACTACAAGTTTCATTTTATCCCTTCGTAAATGGAAGATAAGCCATCACTAGAGCAACTTACAACTTGCACATCTTGCTCACCATCATGTCATCTATGTTTTTGACAAACTGTTAAAAAATAAAACAATAACATGAATTTTATAATGGAAACGAACAATTAAGGGTAGAACGGTAAATTTGTCTTTTCTGAAAGCTAATAAATCTATTATTTGAATCCAGTAGTTCCATGTGAAGTATATGCAGAGTTAATTTAATCATACCTCCAATGCCATTAAGGCATCTTCCATTGCACGTTGCTTGGCAAAGAAGTCGGCGCGCCGCAAATCAGCCTGAGAATGAGACAGGAAATTGCTTCAAATTGTATAAAACCATATCTTGTCACTAATATTACAGTATATGCTGAATTTTCTAATTGAACTACAAGCACAGAGTTGTGCAGGACTTTCTTTGCATTTAATATATGGATTTTTTATTTTATTTTATATAATTATAATGACTATAAGAATATCTGAAACTTCACTAGACCTTATGGTAATAATCACTACGCAAGTTTGAAATTAGACTTTTCAGATTGTGAAATGTGATAAGGCTTACCTGCTACTTATGATTAACCATGGTATATACAACGTTAATCCCTCACCACTAGTAATACATTTATGCCTATGTTCTGAAAATAAGAAATAATTGTTGTTCTCTTGCGTATTTCAATATACTTAAATACGTTATATTGACTCAACAGAGACCAGTACTCACAAGAGCTATTTTGGCTATATAGTGGAAGTTATACCAGCTACTAATATAACTGACAAAGAGGGAGAAGCAAATACTAAGAGATCAAAGAAAACCTTTATACACGCATTGTTTGGAAGATAAGAGGAAAAATAACAAAAGAAGGAAAATTTTGGAACCAAAAAGGTAGATTTCTTTTTTCCTAGCCTCTACCTTAAGGACAATCAGCCATTGTAGCAATGATAACATAGTATTAGAACAAAACTTTTCAACTCCTTCCTTCGGGGAAAAAAAAAAAAAAAGACACTGAAGTAATCTCAGTTATCAACTAATGGATTGCGCAACAAGGGCATTAAAATAATATATGTACATATATATATGAACTCGTTACTACTACAACTACAAGTGCCTGCACTCTCCATCTGTCTATTGGATGTAAACATAAAGCTTTTTTTTGAACTGAAAGTAAACATAAAGCTAGATTCCTCATTTTCAGAAAAATAAGGTTATCCAAATATCAGATGTGTAAATGCAGCGGCAAGTAAAGTTTATAACAATGTAAATTAAAGCACCTCCAAGGCTCCATCACTCCAGTGCTTGTCAGCGGCCTTTTTCAACCTAGATTGAGCTTTGTCTTTCAAAATCTGATAAGAATACAAGAACTGTTAGAAAGTTAGTCACTACTAAGGGACTAGAAGTGTGTGACTATAACTGCAAGCAGAGAAATGGGTGAATCTTTACGATACATACAGCAGCTATATGATTAAGGCGTTCAGCTTTTTTCTTCACATCATGGTCAATTTTCTTAGTATCCTTTCTTGCCCGAGCTACCAAGAAAATTTCAATTCAAAGAAAGACAAGTGAGTTCAAAATGACAAGTGTAATTAAATAAGAGATCATTTGGACACCACTTGAAATGAAATTAAAATTATTTGGTTTTTTAAATTCAAATTTTTTTGGGACAATCCATTAACTGAATCATTAAGATCCCCACCCCAAGCTCTAGAAAAGGGAAAAAAAAGTTATTATCAGTAAGTTCAAATAAAAAACATACATATATATATATATATTTGAAGCAGTAAACTTTTTTTTTTTTTTGATGGAAGAATTGAAGCAATAACCTTGATGAAAAATGAAATCATTTACAAGTGCGGAAAAATATTATCATTTTAAATGCAGTCAAATATCAGATTGAATAATCTCTTATGCTTTGATATGAAATATCAAATCACTTAATTTTAGCAGGGTGGCAAGGAACCATGTCAGATAATTATGTTTCAGAATATCTACGTCATTAAGATCAAAGGTAGAATTGATCATAGCATAGAAGGTCAATGAAATTACCGTCAAGCTTAAGAAACTCAGAACCAATAATAGCAACATCTTGGCGAACACGGGCATCCAACCTCATCATGCCACTGAAAATAAATGGCAAACAATAATCAGTTGATTACAAGTTAAAAAACAGCATATGGAAGATTTATAATATCCTCCATGCATACTATATATTTTCAATATATATACATATGCAAATATTGACAAGAAGATCCTAGAAGCTTGGGAGAGATCATTCCACATGCTTTCATTTCATATGTCCTCCCAAGCTCGTATAACTTCTTTACCAATGCCCACCCACCATCGCAAAGATTACTACTTTTTTTTTAACGGCAATCCAAAGTGACAAGAAACACTTTTTTCTAATTTGCAAATAGGACACACACTAAGGACTGGTAGGAAATGACTTGCTGATGGCAATTGCAAGTAATTTATGCAGATAAGACAATGAAATACTAAATATTACCGAGAAAGCAAGACAATATCATTTCGAGCTCTTTCATTAACAAATCTGGCATCATTGTAAACAAATTGGCAAGCCTCAGCTAATCCTTGAATTGAGTGAATAGTTCTCTCAGGCATGACAGGATGTTCATCATCCTCATTACAACCTTGTGCTCTGACCCACAGTTGGATTTTATAAGTAGAAGGTGAATGAAAAAAATAAATAAATAAAATCTTCAAGCAAGCTGTAACATGCAACATGCTACTGTTGAAATTAATTAAACTAGATAAATTTATTAAAAATATTTGCATGATGAAATTTAGATTTATCAAAAATGAAATTGACTGATCATAGCATAGCAACGGAGCATTACAAAGTGCTATTCAATTTGTACAAATGACTGAAATAAATAAAAAAAACAAAATTCAATATTCAAATAAATTTGGAGGTCAATGGTGAGATACACCTGATCTACTATATAAATATAGTGTCATCTATGATTGGCAGGGGAAACAAGGAAGAAAAGGCAAGTTTATCCAACAAATAACAATTGATTTTTGCCGACCAAAAACAAAGAAAAAAAACTTTAGGCTTAACCGTACTTAAGTTATACATAGAATGTCCAACCAATACGAGCTAAAGCAGTTGGCTAGAACCCCTGCACCTCGCTAGGAGGTCAAGGGTTCAAGTCTTGTCACACAGGCAAGACTCCCTCCTGCCCCAGGCTACAGCCTCCAATGTTCACCCAAATATGTATTTATCGTATGTCCGTCCTTGTAAGGTACTAATAATATTGTCTTAATTCATTGTTTTCTCCCTTTCTTTAATGACTGTGGTGAACTTTATGAAATTCATATTTTGTGCATCAATGTAGTACCTTCACAAGGCAGTTTTTTCTGGCATTTGAATAGTGCAGTCTGTCTCTAAATGTGACATTGTTCTCATCATTCAAAGGCACTTGGGCCCTTTCTCTTAATGAACAAACATTAGGTCTATGTTGTCTATCTCTTCAGCAAGGGCAAAACTAGTGGCCCTTTAGAACCATGAATTGTAGTAAGTTCATATTAGAACAACTAAGAATGCATAGTTAATCAGTTGGCAATAACTACATCTAAGCATTCAAAAAATCCAACCATAGACTCAAGATTAAAATACTGATGAAAAACGGCTTACATTTCGGAGATATTTGTTTAAAAAAAGTTGCTCCTATCAAAATATATTTTTTAGAGCCTAGCAAATTGGAATCAATAATGTTATTGTATGAAATCTATCATGGATCATTGATTTATCAACAGAAGAATGAAAACAATAATGGTATAATAAATTGTATTGCAAACAGTTTCAGTTATATGTTTAGCCCAAAGCCCATACCTAGATGATTCTGAACAATCACCATGGTCTCTAATACATTCTTGTGTTTCAGTATTGCTTGTGTTTGTTGATCGACATATGGCAGAAAGTCCTCGAGACAGAACAAAACTACTAGGTTTTCCACATATGTGCCACAAAACTTTCTTAGGAAACTTCAACCTTAATGTCCAGAGATGTCCATCGCTCTGTTTACCAAACTCATGTGCTGGACTTGTACCATGTAATCTAGTGTGCTGCGGTGACTTGGCAAAAATATAATTGCTTCCTTGTAAGTTATTGACAGTTGTTGCATCAATCGCTACAGAACCTTTTGAAACCTTGGTTGCAGTGAGAGCCATAGAAGGATCAAGATAAGCTTACAATCCCAGCCAGCATATCCTTTGAGTAAGCTGAAAGCTGAAGCAAATTATAAAATGGAATTAGGAGGTCAACACTGAAGAAAGTACAAATAAGTGCTTCTAAGAAACTAAAATCATCAGGCAACAAACAACTTTACCATGTCAATCTTTTTCAGAAATACGTAATGGTTCTGCACTATAGGCTTCAAAAAAAACTCATTCAGTTCAATATTTTAGAAGTAGTGCTCTCTCTTTTGTGAATAACACCATATCAATGTCCTTACGCAAGTTCCTTGGGGCACACAAATTGATACTTCGATTACAAATGCACAATATTGAGGCACGTTAAAGTCATAAAAGTGCCATTGAGCCAGTGAAGTTATAATCAAACCAACTGATGTTTTCCACAAAGGTATTTTCTAAAACTTCAATTGCAAATGTTTCATGTTTAAGGTGCAACTGCATTGTTTGTGTAAAATTTTAACAACCAGGACATACACTAACAACTATAGGAATAGATTGCGTTCACATTCAAAATAGTTGCGACACTCAGTGAGTTCAAATTAATTGCTAGTTGATACAATACTGCTTAAAGTTTGTTAATTCAGCCTGGATTAGCAAGCAAGCACAAAAGTCTAACAAATAGGAAAAGATATCTACACTTCTACGAGTGATGGCTTTCAATGCTGCCAATAAATTATTATGTCACCATCATTTTAGTCATTGACAAATTTGCATCATTGTTGTATTCATAGCTCTCCCTCTCTCACATTATGGGAATTGCACGCAAGAGGGAAGGCTATGAATTTAAAACCTTTTCACTTTCTTACTCTAATTTGTTAGCTATATTACATCACCACCCAAAAACTACTTGATGCCAATGGGGTCTCGACATCTATAAATAGTTATATTATATCTTGTTTTAAGTTGCCATGTCAAGCATCTTGATCCATTTGGGCAAAAAAGCAATAAAACTCGACTCCACGACTTAACTACAGTGTTATTGTTTATGTTGAGTGGTGTTTTGTCGTAATCAAATAATTCTTCAAAGCTTGACCTTTATCTTATCTGCATATTAAATCAAAAATTAAAATTAAATTAAAATAAAATCCCTTCAAGGATGGGCTGACAGTCCTCAATAATGATATACACCTCAGAGCAATTGCATAACAAGTAGTGAATCAAATTAAATGTACTGAAAGAAGTTCAGATTTCTATATATGGGAACACACCAAAAAAAAAACCCCAAAGAGAAATTGAAGCCCAGATGAGGAAACCATCAGGAAGTGCATATTATGAATTCATTCACAGAATAAAAGGCCTCATTCTTTTCTTCTAGCTTTGTTCTATAAGCAGATAGTCACAAATGATGAGCTCTACACAAATTTTGGATTATTGTCACCAGAACAAATGAAATAACAGAAAATTCAAACAAACCTGAACAGTAACTAAAAAGAAAGAGCGATGTCTATGGTGACTGAGAGATTGAAACAGTACTGATAATAGAATACCCACATATCAATGAAGTTAAAAAAACATCACAGAATTAGACAATCCACTAAACAAAGTACAGTGAAAAGACAATCAAGATTCAAGAATGAAGGGTAATGCAGATCCTGAATACTCAACGAACAAATGCAGCACTTACCTCACTCTAGAGAGAGAGAGAGAGAAGGGGGTGGGTGAGGAGGTAAAGAGAGGGACCATGCAAAGATGTAACGAATTTTCATCCACAAGCTGAGCCTGTGGCCCCCGGATTGCCAACTACACTAAGCCATTGCAAATTGAGAAAATATTATTTTCTCCCCTAAATTATCATTTAAAAATTAATTTAATCTATATCTTTTAATAATATTAATTTTATATTTAAATTATTTGATTTTGTCTCGATTTTAACCTTCACCGTTAATTGCCGTTTTTGATTAAAGGGAAGTTGTTGCTGTGGCATCTAAAATTCAATTAAAATTTTATTTCAATCTCAAATTATCTCAAAATATCAATTAGACTCTTGAAAAAAATAAAATTTAGATGTCTAATTGATATCTCAAAATATCAATTAGACTCTTGAAAAAAATAAAATTTAGATGTCTAATTGATATGTAATTAGTGTTTTGCTTAATTTAATTCTTACCTTCAACATCCAAATCACCACACCCAACAGCATGTAGCTCTCTAGCAAGTTCCTGTGTCTTCTCATATGCCACTGCTAGCATTCTAAGATACTGTAACCTCAGGGGAATACAAATGAAATCACAATCCAACTTTATCTTCAAATGGACAATGGGGTTAAGGAAGAACAAAAACATTAACAATTATTCAACTCACCAATAGAAGTCCGCCTTCTTCCATAGTAGGTGGGTTAACGAGAGATGGTTTTATCAACAATTTGTCAAGAAGTGTTGTAAGTCGCTGCTCCAAAACTCGCTGCATACAAGCACAGAAACTGGTCAAAATTATGAAACTGCCAACCAATATGATCCTGGTATCTAAACTTCATCCAAGTCCACTGTCATGAAACCCATAAAGGACAAAAGAAGGGACTCCTTGTCAGAATACCAGAACCAAAATCGACATAACATCTTTCGGAGAAGGAAATACAGCAGTTATTGTGGCTGCTTCTTTACGCACAGTATCTGCAAATCAATAGTAACAGATTGGGGTCATGCTAATGACAACCCATTGTGGTATCAGTTAGGGGAAGTAAAGGCCAAAAATATTAAGACTCTCAATCTATATAAGATGTCTTTTTTATTAATATTAAATAAATACATACATATATATATATATTACATATTAATCAGGGAGAGCAAGAGAGAGAGAACGAGAGACGAGAGAGAGAGGGAAGGCAAGAGAGAGAGAGAGAGAGAGGCTTACGGTGGTCGAAGTCGACTGGATGGAGGTCGAGGTCGATGGCTTCGTAGACGATTACTATGAATGTTACTTAATGTGGCCTACTTAATGTTACTGAATGTTACTTAATGTTACTTAATGAGGTCGTGTCCATGCTTCGTAGACGATTACTATCTAAATTTAGAAATGCTACCCACTTCTTATAAGCCCATATAACTATATGAATGTTACTTAATGTGGCCTACTTAATGTTACTGAATGTTACTTAATGTTACTTAATGAGGTCGTGTCCATGCTTCGTAGACGATTACTATCTAAATTTAGAAATGCTACCCACTTCTTATAAGCCCATATAACTATATGAATGTTACTTAATGTGGCCTACTTAATGTTACTGAATGTTACTTAATGTTACTTAATGAGGTCGTGTCCATGCTTCGTAGACGATTACTATCTAAATTTAGAAATGCTACCCACTTCTTATAAGCCCATATAACTATATGAATGTTACTTAATGTGGCCTACTTAATGTTACTGAATGTTACTTAATGTTACTTAATGAGGTCGTGTCCATGCTTCGTAGACGATTACTATCTAAATTTAGAAATGCTACCCACTTCTTATAAGCCCATATAACTATATGAATGTTACTTAATGTGGCCTACTTAATGTTACTGAATGTTACTTAATGTTACTTAATGAGGTCGTGTCCATGCTTCGTAGACGATTACTATCTAAATTTAGAAATGCTACCCACTTCTTATAAGCCCATATAACTATATGAATGTTACTTAATGTGGCCTACTTAATGTTACTGAATGTTACTTAATGTTACTTAATGAGGTCGTGTCCATGCTTCGTAGACGATTACTATCTAAATTTAGAAATGCTACCCACTTCTTATAAGCCCATATAACTATATGAATGTTACTTAATGTGGCCTACTTAATGTTACTGAATGTTACTTAATGTTACTTAATGAGGTCGTGTCCATGCTTCGTAGACGATTACTATCTAAATTTAGAAATGCTACCCACTTCTTATAAGCCCATATAACTATATGAATGTTACTTAATGTGGCCTACTTAATGTTACTGAATGTTACTTAATGTTACTTAATGAGGTCGTGTCCATGCTTCGTAGACGATTACTATCTAAATTTAGAAATGCTACCCACTTCTTATAAGCCCATATAACTATATGAATGTTACTTAATGTGGCCTACTTAATGTTACTGAATGTTACTTAATGTTACTTAATGAGGTCGTGTCCATGCTTCGTAGACGATTACTATCTAAATTTAGAAATGCTACCCACTTCTTATAAGCCCATATAACTATATGAATGTTACTTAATGTGGCCTACTTAATGTTACTGAATGTTACTTAATGTTACTTAATGAGGTCGTGTCCATGCTTCGTAGACGATTACTATCTAAATTTAGAAATGCTACCCACTTCTTATAAGCCCATATAACTATATGAATGTTACTTAATGTGGCCTACTTAATGTTACTGAATGTTACTTAATGTTACTTAATGAGGTCGTGTCCATGCTTCGTAGACGATTACTATCTAAATTTAGAAATGCTACCCACTTCTTATAAGCCCATATAACTATATGAATGTTACTTAATGTGGCCTACTTAATGTTACTGAATGTTACTTAATGTTACTTAATGAGGTCGTGTCCATGCTTCGTAGACGATTACTATCTAAATTTAGAAATGCTACCCACTTCTTATAAGCCCATATAACTATATGAATGTTACTTAATGTGGCCTACTTAATGTTACTGAATGTTACTTAATGTTACTTAATGAGGTCGTGTCCATGCTTCGTAGACGATTACTATCTAAATTTAGAAATGCTACCCACTTCTTATAAGCCCATATAACTATATGAATGTTACTTAATGTGGCCTACTTAATGTTACTGAATGTTACTTAATAGAGAGAGAGAGAGAGAGAGAGAGAGAGAAGGGGGTGGGTGAGGAGGTAAAGAGAGGGACCATGCAAAGATGTAACGAAATTTCATCCACAAGCTGAGCCTGTGGCCCCCGGATTGCCAACTACACTTAAGCCATTGCAAATTGAGAAAATATATTATTTTCTCTCCTAAATTATTATTTAAAAATTAATTTAATCTATATCTTTTAATAATATTAATTTATTTTCTCCCCTAAATTATTATTTAAAAATTAATTTAATCTATATCTTTTAATAATATTAATTTTATATTTAAATTATTTGATTTTGTCTGGATTTTAACCTTCACCGTTACTTGCCGTTTTTGATTAAAGGGAAGTTGTTGTTGTGGCATCTAAAATTCAATTAAAATTTTATTTCAATCTCAAATTATCTTAAAATATCAATTGGACTCTTGAAAAAAATAAAATTTAGATGTCTAATGATATTTTAGAGATAATTTAGGGGTAAAATTAAATCTCAAACTAAATTTCTGTATGCATCTTTCATTTAATTATAAACGGTAGCTAACGGTAATAAAATTGACCCAAAATCAAATAATTTATGTGTAAAATTGATATTAATAAAAAAAAATAAGGATTAAATTGATTTTTGAGTGATAATTTTGAGAAAATGATTTTTTTTATTTTTTTATTTTGGTTATAGGAAAATCCTCTCACTCACCCACACATCTAAAGCAGCGCCTCTCACAAAGATCACCAAGATATCTAATTATCCGTTCCGAGCAAGAAATTATAACCCAAGAATTTGCCCAAACCACCCAAGACAAGTTTTGCTTAAGTTAAAAGTTTTGAATTTTTGTACATTTGAAAATGAGTAATACTACAAATTCAGAAGTTACCCAAAAATACCCATGTATGATTCACATTTATTGTACACGGATCCCATAATACACACTTTCAATCTCCATCATACATTTTGTCATAACCGACCAGTAATCATAAAATTACCTACGGCCTCAGACAAAATCAATATATATTATAATAGTAAAAGGGCCAAAGCGGAAGCAGACTTAAAAATTTTGTCCAATGAACTGTGTTTATATGACATATCAAAACATCTCACATATATTTCATAATAACTCACGCCACATGAACAAAAATTAATATCTTGTACATCCAGGAATTTTCAGACATGCAGTCA